ATCCGCCTGCCTCTGCCTCCTGAGTGCTGGGGTTAAAGGCGTGCACCACCACGCCTGGCATGAGCATGTATTTTCACATAATAATGTGTTCCATTATGACATTTTCATACACGCATATAATGTATTCTGACCATCTTCACTCCCACCAGTCTCCGGTCTCTCTCTCATGTCCACTGACCCACTTCCTCTTCGCAGTCAGTTCCCCTTCCACTTTTATACTTTAAGGACCATGGGTGAGGAGTTAGTTACAGGTGCATGGGCACAGCATCAGTAGCTGTAGCAGAGAAAGTTTCTCTTTCCTCTAGCAAGCATTAACTGCCTACAGATCCTGAGGGATGGGTGGGGCCTCAGGAACCCCTTCCACCTCCCAGGCAGAGGGCTAGTGGACCCAATCTTGTGCAAGTGATTACACAGCTGCTGTGAACTCCACGTCCTCCATAGAGAACTGATCATTCATGGGAATGGAACTATTCAGAACTATGTTGAGAGAGAGAGCAATCCCTCCAATTTCACAAAGCACAGGCTGCCATAGGCAGAACCCATTTCTTACTGAAGCTTATTGCAAGCACTCACATGGATGGCCAAGACAGGCAAGTCAATGTAGTTCAACAACTCATAGTGGTATTTCACCGACATGCAGGATGAAAAGAAGACCATCAGCTTCTTCTTTCGGTTCTTCTTCAGGAACGTGAAGAGTAGAAGGAATCTCTTTTCAGAGGGACAAACAACATACCCCTAGAAATGGTTCAAGTCAATAGACAGGAATTGTTCACGTGGGCACTTTCAGTGCCAGGATGAATTTGCTTGAACACAGCAGGCACACTGCCAAAGACTCTCCTGCCACATTTAAAAATTAGACTTGACACTAATTATAAGGAAACATTTACTCATTAAATGACCTGATATTGGGCCTGGAAGATAGCTCAGCGGATTGAGTGCTTGCCACATAAGCACTGAGTGCCAGAGGGGCATCCATGGTAACCATCCAGTAATTTCAGTTCTTGGAAAGCAGACAGGGGATTACTGGGGCAAGCTGGCTAGCTAGACTAGCTGAATCAGCGAGCTCTGGGTTCAAATGAGACCCTGCATCAATATTCAAGGTGGAGCATGATGAAGAAAGATATCTGACACTAACCTCTGACTTACACACTTACACATATAAACACCCACACCCACCCACACACCTACTCACAAAGACTCAAGCTTAAACTTGTTTTCAAGTCAGCTTTTATCTGTCACCTCTTTTTTAACTTCACAGTAATATACCCCAAGCCAGTTTCTTCTCCATCACCCTGGCACCTTATGGAGATTATTAAAAACAATTTCTAGCTGTGTTTAAACTCAGCAGTGACTGATACCACTTCCCAGGTAACAAGTAGGATCTCTAGGACAGAAATGGCTGAATTATTTAGAGTTCATGAGATTTTATACCAGGAGAGCTAGAGATACACACAATACCAAGTTTGCTCTATCATTAATCCATTTGCTTTCTCGATAATTTCTGAACAATTACAAGGAAACACCAAGTAAGACCCTACAATTTAAGTTATTTACAAACAGTACCTGCTCAAGACCATCCACGGTGGCAACCTCTTTATCATCATCAACACCCACATACAATGGCTCCTTTTTCAGAGAAATCCTTGCCAAGTCTTCAACTTTCCGAGTTTGTGTGGCAGAAAAGAGCATGGTCTGTCTGCGTACTAAAAAGGACAGAAAAAATAGCTCAAACTGTCCAAGGGTCCTCTTAATCTCTTCAGTTATACTTGGAAGAGCAGATATGTGGTCTACGGATTCTACAGAGATCACCAAGACTAAGGTGATCTATTGTGAATGCTGGTCTACAGATTTGATCACTCGGGTGAAATGGACAAATTCCTTCAAAGACAAACTATTAAAACATAGAAGTAGAGTGTAGTTAAGCTTTACCAGCCACTCCCCATGCCTAGGTAGTTACTCAAGAAATAAAGAGTTCTTTAGCCCTACACAGACTTATAGAAGAACTTCAATAGCTCCAAGCTATAAACAGCAGAAAGCACCTGTCAACGGCTGAACAGATAAATGAAGTGGTGATACAGGCTACTGAGGAACAGAAACAACCGATGTGTACAACGGCAGGGACAATCTCAAAAAAACCTGCTGGGTGAACAAATAATGCATTCTGCCCCAGTATACTTGCAAAAGCTTTAGAAAATGTAGGCTGATATTCAGAAACAAAAAATCAGTCAATAGCCACCAGGCAGGTTAGTGTGAAGAGGGGAAGGAGACAGAGAAACTTTGAGGCAAAGGACACAGCCACCACCATGCTTGCAGAAATCATTTTCAAGGGGCATGAATATCAAAGAGCACCAAAAATTAGAGATTTTAAGTTGTATTTTCTTTTCTTGGTCTCATGTAGCTCAGGCTGTCCTCAAACGCCCTGTGCAGCTAAGGATGTTGTTTAACTCCTGCCTCCATCTCCCATGTGCTGGGATTATAGGCATGCACCACCACACCAGACTAGTTGCATCGTTTCTTATATTAATTATATTTCAATAGAGCATCACACAGTGGATCAGATCATGGCCTTATTATAGTTATAAGCAATTTTATCATGTTGTAAGAGTTCGGTTGAGATTATGTACAGGTCAAATACAACACAGAAGACTATGGCTACATGGAGATAAGAACAGGAAAGATGGCAGGAAGGACTGAGCCATCAAGTAAGCCCAAACCCTACAGGGAATCTTTACATTAAGACTGCCTCACTTGCACTTTACCTCATGAAATGGCAAAGTGCTGTATGAAGTACACAATACGTCTGATGCATTTCAAATTCCTTTGGAAGCTGACTGGTACCTCAAGTGGTCATAGGAAAATTCTGGTTTTCATGAATGGCATTCTTATGAGAACAATGATCATGGATCTCTACTTTACAAGCTCCATGCAGATACCTCTTACTTACTTGGCAAGAGTTTAATAATTTGTTTTAATTCCTCTTCAAACCCAACATCCAAGATACGATCAGCTTCATCGATAACCAGACACTGGAGGTTTTTATACATAAACCCTGGGGTATTCTAATGGACAAAGAAAAGAAAAACTGTCACTAGTTAAGGCTTATGATTCATAGGAGACAATGAACACAGGTGCTAAGTAATGTCTTCTACCTGCATGTGGTCCAGGAGCCGGCCTGGGGTGGCCACGATGATGTTGATTCCATTTGCCAGCTTCTGTGCTTCAGCAGACCTGTTACTGCCACCCATGATCAGCCCATATGTGTGCACATGGTGTGTCATCAACTCCTTAAGGACACCGAAGGTCTGCATGGCCAGTTCTCGGGTAGGAGAAAGAATCAGGACTCCTGTTCCTAAAGGCAAGAAGTGACAGGAGGCTGTCACTGTGTGTCCCTAAAAGGCTCAACAAACTTGCAGGGAAATGATGGCAGCAACATCAAACCATACCATTCCTGGGCATGAACTTTAGCTTAACGATGAGCTCAATCACAGGAATGAGAAAAGCCAGGGTTTTGCCACTGCCTGTTTTTGCTGCTGCTAGAAGATCCCTAGATATTACAAAGGAAACAGAAAGACATTCAGTCTACCAGTACACAAAGATTTAATGAACACTTCATATACGCTGAACATGCTTTAGCTTCTAAGCTAGAACATGAAAAGACCCAGCTCTTGCCTAAGCACCTTGGTTATCTACCTCACTCATAAAGACTGTACTACAGAACTTTTCAAACATCAGTAAATAAAAAAACTTTAATATAAGCTAGACACGAGTCCACATATGGGGAACAAAATGAACAGAACACCCTTGCATTTCCTTTACAACCCCATAGCTCTAAGAGAAAAAAAAAGACACAACTGTCCCAGTGTTGATGTACCATACCTGCCTTCCAGAAGTGGCCTGATACTTTTATGTTGGATTTCAGTCATGTTTGTGAAGCCCATTTCCTTTATAGCCTTCAGAGTGTTTTCATTGACAAGGTTAGACAGGGAAGCAAATGAAGTGTCCTCAAAAGCACCTGAGCAGGAAAGTTTATTGTCAGCAAACTGGTCTTTTAAAAAGCTAACGCTGACAGAGATGCCTTGTTTTGCTTCTTAGAAGAGCTTCTCACAGTAAAAAATGACTAACTCTCAATCATTCCTAAGAGAGAATACTGAAAAATGCCCCGCATTTTTGAAGTCTCTTTACTGCTGTATGATTCACAGCCCTTCCAAAGCTTATGGTGCAGCAAAATAAAGGCATGACTGAGGTACGAATATGAAAGTCCAAGGCAGGGAAAAAAGTTCAGAGCAACGAAATGTTTAAGCCTGAAATAAAAAGTGAAAACATTATGCACAGTAAAAACTGAGCTTAAAGTCAACCAAAAAGGTAGCTAACCTGATTCCAACAAGACAATTGAGGAGAGCCAGATCCAACCATGGGATGTTGGCTGGAGCCCATACATCAAGAGGAACACAGGGCTGGGGCCAGCTCAGCGGCTTGAGATTGCATACTGCTCTTGCACAGGATCCCAGCTCAGTTCCCCGTACCCATCAGGTGGCTCATAAAGGCCTAAAACTCCAGCTTCAGGGGGATCTGCTGTTTCTGACCTCTGCAGGTACCCGCTCAAGTACACAGATCCACACACATTTGAAAATAAAAGAAAAGCAGTGGTTCCTTAGTGGACCAGGCACCAAAGTACCCTGGTGACCTACCCTGCCATGCCCAGGCCATGGGCTGCAGGTTCTCAACCTTGGTAGTACTGATGGTTCCAGATTTGCGACTGATGGCTCAATTCATAAGTGTTCCCTTGGTATGTAAGCATACCCACAAACATTTTGTTTTTCATTTCCAGTATGGCATTTGCTATATTCATGAGATACTCAACAATATAACACAGGTTTGTGTCAGGTGATTTTGCCCAACTGCAAGCCAAAGTTAAGAGTGTGACAACGCTAACGGTACTCAATGCATTTTTACTTTTGTCTTCAATTCCAGTAGGTACACTGGGATGGAGTCCCACCTTAAGTGAGGAACATCTGAACTCACATCTTGGGCCGGGGATGTGTGTGTGTATGTGGGAATGGGGACTAAATTTGGGGCTTCATGTATATTAGGTGAGTTCTTCAAGACTGAGATCCATCCTCAGGCTGGGTAATTCCAGGTCACAGATGCAATTCTAGGCATTGTAAGATGCTGTGTGGCACCCAACCTTCAGGACCCAGATGCCAGCAGACTGCTCCTACTTCTGTCAGCCAACAATCACTCCCAGGGGTAGGGTGGTCAATTTTCTTGGTATGCCAGGGTCAGAGAATTCTTGTAACATAGGACTTTTCAGTGTTAAATCTGGGACATTTCTAAGCAAACCAGAATGAGTTAGTTACTCAACCGGTGTCACCAAATTGCTCTGGATGAGAGCCACAACTTTTCTGATCTTTTTCCAGTGTTGTGGATTGAACCTAGAGCTATACTCCAGCCCACTTTAGCTATCATGATTAAAAGCATGTCAATTTTTAAATAAGCAAACAAAAAAGCCCAAGCCGAACAACAGTTCAAGCAACCCCTACACATTTCTTGTAAGGAGCAGCAAATTCTAGCTTAAATTCTTGACTTTATAAAGGCCAAAGAAAGTTAACTCTGTACAAGTCTGTCTATCAATCTCATCCTTCCCTTCTTATGAGTACCTGAGCTTATATGAAAGCTCTGTGCCCAGACTCCTCGTCAGTCATTTCTCAAGTAGAACATGGAATCAGCCTTAGAAAAGGATAAACCACAGGAACAAAGGGTCTCAGAAGCTGTGCGTACATCAAAGGATTTAAATATCAGGAATGCAGAGAAGAAAACAGAAGGTGGAACCTGGCACCCAGGTACCAAGAAGCAGAAGGTGAGGTTTGGAAAGCAGCCAAAGCACAGAGACCTCTGTGTGTTGACTGATAGGTAAAGTCACAACTGAACCTCCAACCAAGCAACAGAGAAACACGACCTTCGAAGCAGAGTCACCTGTCAGTCCTAGGGGCAGGCTGGGCACCTCACTGTCCTCATCATCTGGCTTCTCCACACCATCTTCCATTTCCTCGGGAGCCTCAGGGCTTTCTTCAGGTTTTGCTTTTTTAGTATCTTAGATTTTAAAATAAAAAAAAAATCCATCATTTTTCTTAAAATAAAAATAGCAAATGAGATCAACAAAAGATGTATAATATCCTCATATAATATTTATTTAAGAACTTTTCTCAGAGATGCATCTTTGCTCTGGAAATTGTTATTGAATATGTTAATGCTATAATGAAATGTTTCTTCTAATCAAGTGGTTATTAAATAAATAAAAAAAATAAAGAACCTTCTTATGAAAAGAAGACTTGGTCATACTTAAAAATGTGCTTTTGGGCTTTTAAAGAATTATACCACCTCAGCTAAAAAAACTTTTCTATAAGTTAAACTAAGTAAATAAGGATTATGATCTTGATACACTTCACGAGAAAAAAAATGTTGGACTAAGGTAACTTTAATTAAACTCCTTAATAGTAGTAGTAGTTCCCCTTCTTTTCATAAAGTTTTCTACAAAGATCACTTTCACTTTAAAAATGAATAGAAAAGCTAGAGCCTGTTCTTGTTCCTAGAGGTAAGACTGAAAGGGCAAGGGCCGTGAGTACTTACCGGGGTGACAGAAACTGGCTGAATGCTAGGTTGGAAGTATCAAGGGAGGGAAAGCAGGGCCTCCACTTTCTCACTCTATATTCAACTCTCAAAGGCTGGTCTCAACTCACCTTTCTAGTCCTACCCATGACACCTGAATGTTCCACACTAATTCGAATGTGTTCACTGACACAATGGGCTTTTATAGAGATCAGTGGCACTTCCTGATGCCACTTTGTAGTGACTAGAGCTGAACTGAGGACTTTCTAGCCCAGGACTGGTCTTTTCCCTGCATCTCATAATTTCCCTCCTATAAGCCTTGCATGTATGAAAGGTATGAACAGGGCTGGGGTGGTGGCACATGCCTATAACCCACAGCACCCAGAAAATGGTGGTAAGAGGGCAGTGAATTTAAGGTCGGCCTGAGTTAAAGTGAGTCACTGTCTCAGAAACGAAACAAAACAAAAACAAGCCACAGATATAACATGAGCTGATCTCTGTGGAGTTTCCCTTTTGCTTTCCTTAGGAAAATCCCCAGCAGTGTAATGCAACAAATGAAAGGAGAAATACTATCAGTTCCCTGGGCATACTCAGAACCCTGAAGTTAATTAATAATCAGAACAGGACTATAATCACTTACATCAAGACCCACGGCCCATCTCTATGACCTCCCTCTCCTGTCACTTTTTATATAAGCCAGTTCCTCACAGCCTAATAATTTATCAGTTTTCAAGTAGTCATGAAGGCAGTCGTGCATATTTAGAAAGCCATAGCTTCTTTCTAAATGAATGCTTCATTCCAGGTAAGACACAGCAATAGGATAGCCTAACTGGAGCCGACACTCAATAAAGGTCTACCAAGGTGCATGCCAGGCTCTATAGGCCATAGAGCTTCTACTGCAACAAAAACGAAATAAATAGGCACTACCGAGACCCAGCAAAGTTTTATTTATAAAAATAGGCAGAGGCTGGGAGTGGTGGCGCATGCCTTTAAACCCAGCACTCGGGAGGCAGAGGCAGGCGAATCTCTGTGAGTTCAATGCTAGCCTGGTCTACATAGTGAGTTCCAGGACCTGGGGCTACAGGGAGACCCTGTTTCAAAAAGACCAAAAAAAAAAAAAAAAAAATTTAAATAAATAAATAAATAAATAAAAAAGGCAGAAGGCTGAACAGTCTGCTGACCTGTCTTGTATCATCTCAAAAGTTTTGCTTTATCCACACCTCAATTAAATGCCCATTTCTGGCTCAGCAGGTAAAGGTACCTGACACCAACCCTGATGACCTAAGTCCTATCTCCAGACCCCACAAGGAAGGAGAGAATCAACTTCAGTATGCTGTTTTCTAACCTACACAGGAACTCTGTGGCTCTCATGTACCCACACAGATACACTCACCACCCCCATACACACAAAAAATAAATTTAATAAAAATTTTCAAAAATACTCATTTCACCCCCCCCCACCCCCCACCTCCTGCATTTTCTGCTCCCTTGGAAATTAGTGTTTTACTTCCTATTTTATATACTTTGCAAGTAAGTTTCTTTTTTGGGGGAGGGTGGGGTTAAAAGAATAGAAGAAAAATCTGAGGAGTAAAATATGATGTAAAAGAATCATTAACGTGAAGTTCTAACATAAAGGCCTAGAAGAAATATCTCACTACCAGCCAGGATTTATTTAGTGTTAATAAAAACTCTAAAACTGTTGGAAACAGATTATGCCATAGTACATTTTATTTATCATAAAAGGTCTAACTAGACACCCCTTCTTCCAAAGCAATTATAACACTAAGGAGATTCACATTTCTTCAAGGTTGGTAAGTATGACATATTGCTGAGTATTTTAACACACGCCCTATCTCCACCAGTAAACTGTCTTTGAGCTGCCAGGCCGATGAGCACAGGTATCTCAAAGGCTGACAGTGAAAAAACTGAAGCACCTACCAGGCCCCACATCTCTTGCTGCCATTTTTCTTTTTTTCTTCTTTTTCTTTTTCAGTTCTGAATTAGGAGACTGTGTTGCTGCTGCGTTTCCATTGGTTAATGGATTAGATTTGGGGGAGAATTTTTTAACTTTAGCATTTTCCACTGTCTCTTCAGACACATCTCCATTCTGTGCTTCTGATGAGATGACACTCATGGAATGTTTCAGGGTTTTAACTTTTCCAACTTTTGTTGTTTCTTCAGGCACATCTCCATTTTGAGGCCGTGGCAGTTTCACATCTGATGCTTCTGTTAAAAACAGAACTTACACTCGACAAAGGGTAAGCTTATAAACACTGAACCTCACATGAGAAATTCCACGGCTTCCAGAGCTTATATTTAACTATGAAAACCACTTTCTAGTATTCTACTATACAAAAAGTTCTCTCAGAGAAAAAGTTTCAGAAAAGGAAAAGCTTACTTAAATTTCTTAACTTCAAAAGGTCCTCCTATCTGTCTAAAGCTGTATAGGAATCAGGGACAGGAAAACTTTAAAGTCAAATAATTAAATAAATGAAGTCAGACTGGCAATTCTAACACATATGAACATAAGCATCTGAAAAACAACTGCTACACGTGATGTCACACAACTCACTTCTCATTTAATTTTACAGCATTCAACCTCAACTCTCCTAGACTTTAGTAAGTTCAAGATTCAGTTAATGAAAACCACTTACTTGACCTAACACTTATATGCCAATGCCCAAAAATGTCTTTACAAAAGTTTCCCTGTTAATACAGGAAAAAAAAGTTCGGGGTGGTGGTGGTAAGCAGCACCATCTTCGGTTCAGGATTTGGACATATAAGGAACTTTAAAACTTATCCCTAAACAGAGCATCGCATCCTGTAGGTTTCCTTTCAGTTACCATTTGGGGGTGTGGGGAAGTATGTCTCCAACACTTCATACAGGGGATTTATATCTCATAGGTAACCTAAACAGGTGACAGAAACTGTCAGAAATTGGGACTACAACTCAAACATGAAGGTGTTATGCATATAAAATCCTTTTCACTTAAATTGCAATTCCACTAAGAGTTTAAGGAACTTACAACTTAAAGAACATGGGGAGAGTTCTGCGTTCAACACGTGAGGGCACTTTCCGGGCTAAATATAAGGCCCACTGCAGTCATGGAGACCAAGCCTGGAGATGGTTAGAGAAAGGAACGGCACTGGGAAGGCTCTGAGAAAGGAGAGGTACTTAAGCTTTGGGGGGAAGAAATGCAGGAATTAAGTGAAAGACAGGAAAGGCTTGTATACCCAGAAATAAAGTTCCACGTGTCTGATTAAAGAGGGGAAAGAAGGAGGACCAGGGGAAGTCTAAGACGAAGGGCAAAAGACAGTTCTGTTGGATGCCTGGGAAGCAAGTCGGAGGCCTCCAGCTCTCCATGATGGGAGAAACCCAGGCTGGGAAAAGCCAGGGCAGCGCTCGGCCCACAGGCGGCCTATTGGTGCCACAGCATCCGGGACGCCTGGTCGGAAAATGCTCAGCGCACCGAGCTTCCCACCGGCGTCCTCCCGCCACCACGGGGCTCAGAGAGGCTCACCCTGTAGCTTGAGGTTCCGCTGCCGCAGCTTGAGATTCCGCTTCTCGATCTTCCTCCGCAGAAGTTTCATCTGCAGGTGCGACATATTGCCAGACCACACCGCCTGCGAGGCACTTCGCAGCTGACGTTACTTCCTTTCAGGACCCTCGTGTGTAGGCGAAACCCGGAATTGCATCACGGGAACGCTCGGACCGGTAGGGCAGAAGTGCGTCCGGGAGGAAACGCTGTCGGCCTGGCACTTTTGGTCCCATTAGAGACCCGGTTCTGCTCAAAGCACTCTGCGGACTCCTCACGTGCAGTGTTTGCCTTGCTTCCCAAAGGCCTGCGTTTTAGGACATCTGTAGTTGAGTTTCCTAACCCGAAACTGAAGGAGGCAGATTGGAGGACACAGACAGAGTTGCTTATGTGGCTCAGAAAATCATGTTCCCCTTCGCTATTGTAGCCTTCCCACTATCTGGTCAGAGTATGTGTTGTTTTTTTTTAAAAAAAACTTTTACAAAAGCTTTATTGAGAATTTCATTCATGCATATAAGGTATTTTGATCAAATCCATGCCCACTCCCTCCCTTCCAATACTCCCATAGCTCCCCATCAATTTTTTCTTTTTCTTTTCTTTCATTTATTTCTTTTTATGGGGCTTTTGGGTACTCAACATTTTCCCCTCTGAAGAGGTAACCCTGTACTCTTTTAAGGATTGGATACAAGTTCCCAAATACTTTTGACATTTTTGGCCTTTGGAACAGAGTATGTTGCTAACAGTGCTAAGGACATTTTGACTTTTAGCCAAGAAACTGGCTACTTTTCTTTGGGGTCTTTTGCCAACTGCCTAGCCAATTCCTACCTCCTATTCTTGCCACGCCATCCCCTGAAGGGGTTACCGAAATTGCCAATAGGGAATAGGGATGCAGACCCCTCTGGCTTCTTCCATGCTGAACAGTGAAGCAGGGTGAGGCAATTGGAGTACTCCTTCAGTGGGTCTATCTAAAAGACTCCCAAATTACATAACTCTTATCTCTAAGGGGAAAAGAAAGGCCTTGAATCGTGAATAGGAGATGTGAAGAAGTACAGGTAAGAGTAATTAGCATTACAAGTTCTAGACAGGGAACTAGAAAAAAAGAACAGGGCAATTTTCAAATGTTCATATGAGAATCCATTGGAATTTCTTGACAAGGGCTTCCAAAAGCATCCCTCTATTGGGTTCTTCCTCATTTTTCTTATGTCTTCCAAGGCTGGACTCTAGAGTGATGGATTAAGATTTTGCTTTCAGATATTTTGATAGCTGTTGTAGTAGTTAGAATCAGTATCAGTTCCCTCTCAAAGGCTTCGAGATTACTGAGGGGTTGCTGAGGTGTCTGTATGACCTGAGGGTATGCACACTGGAAAGCCTTTACCTAGCATGGGTCATGCCTTCTCTTCTTAGCCTTCCCCAGATTGTATACTTCAGCCCTCCCCAAATCCAGGAGGCCATGCGTGATTAGGGCCAAGTTACATACGGTTGGCTGAGAAGAGTAGCTGGATACTCCAGAAAGGGTCCAGTGACACTGCTTGGTCCTCCTTTAATGAGCACAGCAGTCAACAAGCCCAGTTGTGACTATGTTTTGTGATCAAGATCAGCTAAAGTCATGATGATGGTAGTTATTTCATGAAGAAGGGACTGCTGTATAGCATCATCTTATTAAAAGGACCTGGAATTTTAAAAGATTTGGTGCTAGGACCCACATATAAGGGAGAACATATGTTGTTTTTCTGAGCCTGTGTTACTTCACTTAGTATAACAGTTTCTAGATCCATCCATTTACCTGCAAATTTCATTATCTCATCTTTCTTTACTGCTGAATAGAACTCCACTGTGTAAATACACCACATTTTTGTTAACCATTGTCTGGTCAGAGTATGTGTAAGTTTTTAAAACTTACTTGGGCCCCAGGTTACACAAATCTCTTTCTTCAGAGTTGAGTTATTCTAATTCTTCACTCATCGAAGTTTTTTAAAATTCTTTTTAAGACAGCATCTCCTTGGGGGCTGGGGAGATGACTCAGCTTGGTTACGAGCACTGGCTGCTCTTGCAGAGGACCCGGGTTTGGTTCACAGCACCCACATGGCAGCTGACAACCATCCATAACTCCAGTTCCAGGGGATCTGATGCCTTCTTCTGACCTCTTCAGGCATTGCACGACATGGTGCACATGCAGTCAATACTCACATACATGTAAAATAAAAATAAAATTTTTCAAAAGAAAAAAAAAGCATCTCCTTGTAGTCCCAGTTGGCCTGGAACTCACTATGTAGACCAGGCTGGCCTCAATCTCACAGAGATCCTCCTGCCTCTGTCTCCCAAGTGCTGGGATTAAAGGCGTGTGCCACCATGCCTAGTTTTCAGGAATTAAAAAAATTATTTTGTGTATATGAGTATTATTATGCTTGCATTTGTGTGAGTACATCCGTGTCATGCAATGCCCACAGAGTAGAGAAGAGGGTACTGAATCCTGTGGAACTGGAGTTATGGGTAGTTGTTAGCTGCCATGTGGGTGCTGAAATTCCAACCCTGGCCTTCTTCAAGAGCACCCAGTGATATTAATCCCTCAGTCATCTCTCCAGCCCTCTTCAGGAAATTTTTTAAAAGTGTATTTGTGCTAATTGTGTGGTAGATGTATAGTAAATGTTGTAGATAAAATACTGCTTTTTGGTTTTTCTTTTTGATACAACTTCCATGAAAACAGAAAAATACAGAAAACTATAATGAGTGTGGTGACAGTGGGAATGTATTCAATACTTGAGCACCCAAGCAGCATCCTAGTCTGGGAAGGAGTCTGCAGGCAGAATCTTCAGTGCACACCATGGGGCATAGGCACTTCCATTTTTATTTATTACTTATTTATTTAAGACAGGGTCACATGTAGCCTGGAAAGTGGCCTAGAATTTACTGTGTAGTTGAGGATGATTGAACTCTTGATACTCCTGCCTTCACTCCAATCCCAATCCCTGGGATTACAGCCCTGGAGCTGTGACCCACACACCTGGTTTATATCGTGCTGAGGATTGAACCCAGGGCCTCTTACATGTTAGGCAGCTACTATACCAACTAAGCAACATCGTTCCTAGCCCCCCCTCCCTTTTTGGTCTTTTTGAGACAGGGTCTCTCTGTGGCCCCAGCTGACCTGGAACTCTATGTAGACCAGGCTGGCTCAAACTCACAGAGATCCACCTGTCTCTGCTTCCCAAGTGCTGGGATTAAAGGCATGCACCACTACACCTGGCTCATTCCTAGCCTTTAAAAGTATTTTAATTGGGCCTGGAAGATTACTTAGTAGATAAAGTACTTGCCTTAGAAACATGAAGATCTGAGTTCCATCCATCTGAAAAAGGCTGATTTGATAGGGTTCACTGGCCATCCAGTCTAGATCCAGGCCACACACAGAAAGCGTATTTTAATTTACATAGACAATTGCCTTATCCAACCTATCCATTTCAGTTTTTTTTTCTGAGATCCTTAAGTCTAAAACAGTGTTTGTAAAATGAAAGGTACATTCATGTTGGGCGTGGCGGTGCACACCTTTAATCTCAGCACTCGGGAGGCAAAGGCAGATGGATCTCTGTGAGATTGATGACAGCCAGGTCTATGTAGCAAGTTCCAGGCCAGGACTACTACATAGTGAGACCCTGTTTCACAAAAACAAGGGGGCTGGAGAGATAGCTCAGAAGTTGAGGGCACTGACTGCTCTTGCAGAGGACCTGGGTTTGATTCCCAGCACCCACATGATGGCTAACAACCATCCATGACTCCAGTTCCAGGGGAATTGATGCCCTTTTCTAACCTCCATGGGCATTGCATTACACAAGTGCGCTTGTATTCACAAAACACTCCTGCACATACAACAAAATAAAAATAAAAACAACAACAATAAAACCAAAAGCAAAAATAACGCTCCAGAAAAAGTACATTCATGTAATTTTTTTCATCAAAATTAAAAGGACGTCAATTCACAGGATAAAAGGAATGACTCTAATTCCTTATAACTATCAGAAGTAACAGACTCAACTTCTCAAATCACTGAATTAGGACTTTTTCCTTTATTTTGTAATGCTGAGGATCAAACTCAGGACTGGGGCATATTAGGCAAATATTTTATCATGGAGTCACATTGCCAGCTCACATTAGGATTCTGAAATGACTGTCTATGAGGTTTTTATATGCTATTATTTATTTTTATTTTATTTGTATGAGTGTTTGCCTGCATGTTTGTAAGTACACCCATATCATGCAATGCCCCTGGAGGCCAGAAGAGGGCATCAGATCCACTGAAACTGGAGCTAGGGATGGTTGTTGGCTGCCATGTGGGTGCTGAAAACTGAACTTGCCAGAGCAGCCAGTGCTTTTAACTGCTGAGCCATTTTTCCAGCCCTTTGAATGCTATTTCATATAAAAGTCACCATTCTGCAGTGTATAGGAACTTATATAGGCCTACATTACTGTAAATTGGCATGCTGCTGTTTCCTTCTCACGGCTTGACTTTCTACAGGCAACCAGGTTGCTGTTACCACAGTTCAGTAGGGACATCATCAAGGTCATAGGGAAGAGAGATTAAATTTATATATTTCTCTCTCTCTCTCTCTCTCTCTCTCTCTCTCTCTCTCTGTGTCTATGTGTTTGTGTGTGTGTCTGTGTGTCTGTATGCCTGTGTATCTGTGTCTGTCTGTGTGTGCATGTAGAGGCCAGAGGTTGATGTGAAGGGCCTTCCTATATTGATGTCCACCTTATTTTTTGAAACATAGTCTCTCATTGAACATGGAGCTCATTGATTCAGCTAGACTCCCTGGACAGTGAGGCCCAGGGTGTTTCCTGTCCCTCCACTCCAGCACTGGGCTCACAGACACACAACTCCATGCCCAGATTTTACTTGGGTTTTTGAATTCTAACTCAGGTCCTCAAGCTAGTGCAGTAACCATTTTACCAAATGATCCATCTCCTCAGCCTCCTAAAAGTTATACAGTAATCATTGTCCACGAAAAATCTAAGCAGGAATATTCACAGTTAAGCCACAAATCCAAATGTAAATCACTTTTATTTCTTTGAAATTTTGACGTTTATTGCTGATCTCATCTGTCAAAAGGACATCTGATTGCATAAAAATTAATTGCTCATCTCTGGGGTGAAC